AGAGAGAGAGAGAGAGAGAGAGAGAGGCGGGGGATGATGAACAGTAGAGGGTTAATTCCCTGCCACGTCAGAAAACAGAGCCACATCAGCATCTTAAACACAGATTAAGCCCCCACGTGCAACGCACGTGATGAGTTCTCGCCGGGAAAGTGGCCGCCGATGAGAAAAAGGACCTAAATGGTAATTTTATTCAATTAAAATGTCTTATCGCCGAATTTCCTAATTAAAATACCTTGTTGGTAAATGGGGTTGAATTAAAATACCAATATGGGTATTTAGCCAACCAAAGGCCATACAAAGGCCAACCAAGAGCTAAAATCCAAAAGCTGAAACCAAAGCTGACCAAATGCATAATACTTATGGGACAGTTGGAACATATCAATCCTTGACAATGTAAACTGAAACCAGAGCTAACTAACCAAAGGCCAACCAAGAGCTGAAACCCAAGAGCTGAAACCAAAGCTTAAAAGAAATTAGAGAGAATGTGCTCAGAAAAGGCCATTTTTTTCATTATTTGCCTCGCCATGAAGTTTACAATAGCAATATTGGATGTAATATATTGCCTCGCTAATATATTACTGAATATTGGATGCATACACATTATTAATGAATATTTATATTTATTAATGTTAAATATAGAATACTGTGATCTTAAAATTTACCTTTGAAGTTTTTTTACTAAAACTCTACTTACCACAAAAATGACGTTGTTTGTATCATGATTTAAAATTTTGGAGTGAAAGTCAATTGCCAGCATATTCCATGACTTGACCATGCACTCATCATCCATGTAAGAAATAATAATTCATTTTTTGAATAATTATGTGTGTAAACTTCTTGTTAAGTTGTAATACAATCTTACTCTTAATCAATTATTTTAATTGAACTTCACATCGACATCTTCCTATAACTTGTTTACTATCCTATCGAATAGATTTCCTTCATAGTCTTTATAATGTGTTTTACAATATATTCGTAATAACTTAGTATTCATATTAATAATTTGAAAAGAAAAAGGCCTTCACAGTCCCTTCATTTTGATTAATGTAGTTATAAACGTGTTAAATATATTAAATAAAATTTCATGTGCTTTGTAACTATGAATAGGAAATGTATATTTGAATGTGTACCTGATTTGCGCCATTACTTCCCTATGATTATGATCTACACCAAAATTTCCCTAAAGTTGATGGTGTTTTTTGCACATTCTAGACATCCAACATAACGCCAATCTAGCTCATTCACAACTCCAATGATTTACACATCACAAATGAAAAAGTAGTCCTATAATTGAAAGAGCTGGTGTTATCATGTAGTCAGCAATTATATACTTATAATTTGAATAAATTGATAGATTTGTATTACCTGTGAATTTCCTAGAGTATCGAAATATACAAATTCATAAATTGTTGTTTCTGAAGCCTTCATTGATTCTGGTTGGGTATCAGAGAAATTGACAGATGAAGTCACTAACTACAAGTTGTTCTCACTATGAGTATTCCTACATGTATAATCAATAAGTTATTATCAGTTATAAGATAGTTCATAATTCATTAATTTAATTTTTTTTACACAAAGTGGCAATAATGTATAGTGTAACCTTATCACCTTTGTAGTAAGTTTTTGACTCTTGCTTCCTCAATATTAAAGTACACTTTTATTGCTGTCGTTGATGAATATTTTGTTTTCCGTTGTTTTGTAATTGCCAAATGCGTTAAGTACTCTGAACTTGGATATCACATGTATCTTTCTCTCTTCAAGCAATGAACTGAACCTTGACATCTTAGTATGTCTGATTGTCCCTTAACAGTGAGTGTCCTATAAAGTTGAATATCAAATTATTAGTATGATCAAATATGTATTATTGTTCAATCAAACTTATCAACGAAGAGTAATCATAATGTTAAATCAAATATGAATCAAACTTAATTACACATTTTGTAAGCCAAGATGGAAATTTTCAATATATATTCTATTCAGTTAACACCACAGAAACCATTTATACAATCACAACCACATAAAGGTTTGTAAATATATTGAAAAATAGATGATAACAAATGCAAATAAGGGAAAACAATTTGATAATAAAGAAGAATAATAGGCTTGTTAGGATCAATGAATCTTGAACCTATAATTGTTAAAAAAAGGAAATAAGTCAACTAAATATAAAACGGAAAAAGGTTAGAAAGCAATGCATACTTTGATAAAATATTAAATACTCGATAACAAATGAAAATTAGGGAAAACAATTGCATAACGTATAGCTTCTATAGGTACAGAAACTAATTATATCAACTTAATTGACATAAGGTTCCTTAAAGGACATACATGTAAAATGATCTTCGAGCAAACTTTTTAAATATCACCTAGCTTAAGAATGACATTTAACTAACTAATCCTGGATAATGATAGCTATGTAAGCTTTTGTGCCTTCTACATGTGATAAATACTTCTCCTGAGCCTATTTGATGAAATGCACGTAGGAGGTGATCAATATCAGAACGATAATTGAAGATTAGAGATAACTTGGAATCAAAGAATCGTCAACATGGTGATGCTAATTTAGCATATATTAGAAGTTAAATGATCATGTTATCTTATACATGCAATAAATAGCCTACAACTCTTCCAACCTAACCTTCTATGGAAATAGTAAAAGAGGGAAAGCTTAGAAATATCATGATAAATGTTGTTTTACTTAAAGTTCAACTATCATCTTTTTTTTAATTTCTAATCTAAACCAAGTAACTACAAATAGAGAAGGAAAAATCAAGCAATTCTTTTCACCCAAAAAAATGCTACAATGATGATGTAGTAACTCGAATCTACTTGAATACACATTACTCTGAAAAATCTTTCTCTAAAGCTTTGTTCAACATGAGCAACTTTGAATAGAGACTATAAAAATCATAATAAAATCTGATTTACTTTTCCTTTAATAATAATAATAATAATAATTTATTTATTTAATAAGGAATTTCAGAATTCGATTTAATTCAATTCGATTTGTAACCGTAAAGTAAGTAAATTTCTCAAGTTAATCAAGAAGTGTACCTTGTCCTTGTTGATCCTGACATCACATCCCCTAAAAAAAAGATTGAGAGAGATAAATTTCTCAAGCTAATCACTAAAAAAGCTTGAATTATAGAATTGCATGTAGCATTCCTCCCACATTTCTCCCGCAAAATTAGAGCAAAATCAGATGCCTTTCATTGTGTATTTTCTCCCGCAATTCTCAATCCTTCCCATAAAAATCAGAACTCATTTATTTTTCCTCAAACCCACATCAAATCGACAACAGCAAATATTGATAAAATTCTAGAGAAAATAAATTTGTATTCACATAGAGTTTAAATGAAAACCATTGAATGTTAATGAAATTTTTTACTTAGATCCAAATTTAGATTTGAAAAGGAAAATGGTTACTCCCAGGATTTCTAGGCAGCTAATGCTCTACATTATCAGCTCTTCACATGGTCATGCTAATAAAGTTGCATCACATCTTTTTATCTTGTTATTTGGAACCCCTTTACATTCTAGAACTCCTCACCGTCTTTCTACAACTAAATTATCCCTTTTATAGTATCCTAAATTCGTAAAATATGACCACCAACCCATGAACCTAACAGATTAAACAAAAAAGATAAATATTAAAACAAAAATCAAAGAAAATGTCTAGGTTTATGCAAAGGGGAAGAGATCAGACCTCGTATTCGACCTTGTGCTTCTCTGATTCTTCGAGAAGGACGTAATATTTAGCAAGCCGAGTCTTTCCTTGCCTATTTTAGAGTAAAATAATTCGAATTTAGATTTGAAAAGGACTCACCAAAGTTGGGCATTTAAGATTTTGAAGGAGTTCATGATACCCATGGCCTTGCTCGAGATGCCGACGTTGGGGTGGACCTGCTTCATGACCTTGAAGATGTAGATCTTGTACGTCTCCTCCTCCCCCTCCTCCTCCTCTTCTTCTTCTTCTTCTTCATCGTCTTGCTTTTGTCTCCTCCTCCTCCCGCTTCTTTCGATGTGATCCGCTTCTCCGCCTTCGGCTTCTTGCCGGCGGGGGCTTTCTCTGCCCTGGCCTCCTCTTCGACCTCGGCAGCGACGACGGGCTTTTTCACCACGGGCTTCTTCTCGGCCTTGAGCGCCATTTGGAGGAGGTTTTTGAGATTTGGAGATTTTTTTTAGTCGGTGAAGGACGGAGAGAGAGACTGTTTTATCCCCTTTTTTTTCGCTTTCAAGTTGAGAACAGTTGTTTGTTTTTGAATTTTGAAAATCAAACTTGAAACCGGTTAAAAAATTATTGAATTTTATTTATTTATTTAAAAATTGAATAAAAGTGGATATTTTATTGGGATTACTGTTGGTTTTGGGTTCTGCCTTTTATAAAAAGTAAGGGGCTGTTTGGTTCAAATATTTTGAGTGGGAAAAGAGTTGAAAGCTGACAAGATGTCAGAAATTTTTCAGTGCTGTTCCTAGCAGCCACTCACTAACATTTGCAGCTTTCCACCCAATTCAAAAAAAATTGGTGCGATTTGGGTGGAAAGCTGACAAGATATCAGAAATACCCCAAGCCTCCTCAACATCCAAACAGCCCCTAATTGATTATAAAAAGTAATTGATACGCCTAAGCCAACCAAATATGGCCAATCCTCTCTGCTCATCCCCTCCTCGACCTCGCTCGCTGCTAGCCCCCACTCTAATGTCCTTCTCCTCTTCCTCTCTCTCAAACTCTAACCCCGACCCCATCGACTCCTTCCCGCTCTCTTCCTCCAACCTTGAGATCATCGGACCCCCTCGTCGCCTGGAATCGCCACGTAGAGACCATCTTCGCCGCGTTCTTTCGGTCGCTCCCTGCCGTGACTTTTCGCCGGGAGTGCTTGAGGACAAAAGACAATGGGGCCGTCGCCCTCGATTGGGTCTCAGCTGATGATCGCCAGCTGCCCTTTGAATCCCCGGTGCTAATTCTACTGGTTTGATTTCATACTGCTCACTGTTAAAATTCTTTATTCTTTTATAGTTGATTAGCCAGTATTAAAAAAAATATGTCTTGTTTTAATATATCTGCAATTGTTTATTTAGCATAAAATGTCTTGATGTTTCCTTTAGTCCTGTTTAGACGTGGATAGCGAAAGCACAGGTCTGCGATTATCTTTTAGCGGAGATTTTGATGGTGCAAATTACGTGTTAACTTGCAACTTCACTTTCATTAGTTTTATTGAATGTTTGGAATGAGATGGAGTTACGAGAGATGGGAATTACTGTACCATGCCTTCGAATATTAACATTTTGACTCTGGAACATGCTCGAAACCGTGATATAATAGCCATTTTCAAAGACATCCGGAACAAGCCATTATTCATACTAACTGGTTATAAACTAGTCCTCACTGACCACTACCAGAAACTAGCTAGCTATTGTACTTTTGTACCGTCATCACTTCACAGACTTTCTCGTGACATACAGGGAGAAAAACTCCGATTTTCTTTCAGTTTTTTTTTTGGTGACATTAGCTTCCAACTTAGCACAAATGAAGATTTTGTAATGTTGAGCAATATTTATATGGATATTCTGTTGTATTGTATCTAATGCGTATTTCCTTATCAGTAAGTTCAACTTATGCTAGGAAGTATGAAGTGGTCATTCCTAACGTTGTAGTTTTCATATGAACTTCATGTTTCTGTACATGTCTATTGATACCTAAGACAGTAATTTAAAATATAGAAAAGTTATGTTAAAAGAGACAAGTGCGAGTTTTCTTTTTCAAATAGAGACATACTGGCATGGCCTGCCAATTTACAATGTTTTTAACACAATGAGATTCTAAGCCAGTACGTCACAGAGCCTTGTTAGAATAGGTCTATGGTTCGTAGGCAAGTAAAATTGCCTCTATCCCTAACAAAGGAAGCTTTTGGACATGGACGAGTTGTGCAACAAGACACAACAACTTAGAACAAGCAAAGAAGCTCAAAGGTTCGCCTGCAAGGCTGAACTTCTCGTGAAGTTCGCCCGCAAAGAACGAAGTTCGCCTTAATACTAAACATCACTTGAAGTTCGCCTGAACATTGAACATCGCATGAGCATTCAAGTTCGCCTGAACGAAGTCAAGTTCGCCTGAATACTCGACTTCGCCGACAAAGCTAAGTTCGCCTGATAACTTTGAATACTCGTGCGGAGTTAAGTTCATCTGAATGGATCAAGCTTCGCCAGAATGGCTCATGCGGAGTTAAGTTTGCCTGAACACTTAACTTTGCCTACAATGTCCGCCTGCATGCTCTAACTCGCCTTTAACCTTGCCAAGTCCGCCTGCAACATCAAGTCCGCCTGCACTGCTTGACCAAGTCGGCCACTAAGGTTTAAAATGTGGAAGTGGTTACGCGCACTTCCCACATTCATAGGAGGCAGTTACACACCATTCTCCTCTATAAATAGCTACTAATGGCTATCAAAAAAAGGAGAAAAAGGAGGAGGGGAGCATTAAGAGAATTATGCACTCGACTCTCAAGCATTCTTGCTCGGGTACGTGGACTCTGATAAAATTTCTACCACGCGAGGTAGTTTATTTACAACTTTGATCAAATCGTTAACGGAAAACAAACTCGACTCAAGTATCGAGCGAAACATCTTTTCGCTCCAAAGATCCCACGTTAAATAAAAGAGAGATCAGATCTATTCTCTCTTCTTCTGTGTAAAAGAAATTTCTATTTTGTAATACATAAATCAAGCAATACTGTTAGAAAAGATAAATCAGAAGTGCTCAATTTTATTCATCTACATAGGGCTATATATAGGAGTACATAACTCATACGAGCAATAGGTTAATGAGCCTACACACAATTACCCAATACTAATACTAACACTCCCCATCAAGCTGGAGCATATATATCAATCATGCCCAGTTTGTTAACACAAAATGGAAAACACCTTAGGTGAGGTAACTTTAGGTGAGAATGTCAGCTAACTGTTCTGAAGACGGAGTGAACTAAAGAGAGATCATTTTCTATTCCCAAGTATCTCTGATAAAATTATAATTAACCTCAATGTGTTTAGTTGTCTCATGAAACAGTGGATTTTTTGTAATATAGATGGCTGACTGGTTGTCACAATGCATAAGCATAGATCCAGGTTGAGTAAAACCAATATCTGTCAACAGTTTCTACAACTACATCATCTCACAGACAGTGTGAGCCATAGCTCTGTATTCTGCCTCTGCACTAGATCGAGATACCACATCTTGTTTTTTACTCCTCCAAGTTACCAAATTTCCTCCGATAAAGGTACAAAACCCAGAAATAGACCATCTCCTATGTCTTTGGCATACCAAGCATCAAAAAAGACAGGGATGTGTAAATGTCCATGTTTTTTATACAGTAATCCTTTTCCAGGACAACTTTTAACATACGTTAAAATCCTCAGAGCCGCTGTACAATGAACCTCTCTTGGTTTATGCATAAACCTACTCAGTATTCTCACTATAAAGGTAATATCAGGCCTGGTCATAGTAAGGTAGATCAACTTTCTAATCAATCTCCTATATTGACCTACATCATCTATGAGAGGACTATTATCACACCACAAATCCACATTCACCTTCATTGGAATGCTTGCTGGCTTACACCCCAAAAGACCCATTTCTCCTAATAGATCTAATACATATTTCATTTGAGATAGAAGTAAACGATTTTTTTTGATATGCAATCTCAATCCCAAGAAAGTATTTGGGTTTTTTCATATCTTTGGTCACAAAGTGATGTGAAAGGTACTCTTTAGTTTCTGCTAAGTAGTAAGGTCACTCCCAATCAGCAGGATGTCATCAACATATATGGCCAGAATCACCAAATCAGATATAGTGCGTCGAATAAAGACTCAGGAATAGAGTGACCGCCTTGTTGAAGTGAAAAAAATCGTTCATACAGTTCGAACATACGAGATGCATTCTTGTTATTGTCGTATATAATTTTTAAATTATCCCACATCTCCTTAGCAGTGATCGAGAACATGACACTGCTACTGATCTGTGCTTTCATGCTGTTAAGAAACCAAGTCATCACACAATAGTCAGTAGGAATCCATGCGGGATATGTAGGATCTGTAGAAGCAGGAGGTGGGGTCAGAAGATGAGCCAATTTGTTCTGAGCTCCAATGAAGATGCGAAAGGCCTGTGCCCAAAGGAGATAGTTGGTGCCATTTAACTTTACAGTGGTTCCTAATACAACTTTGGGTGTAGAAATCTCAGCTGTAGCAAGGGTAGTAATGGCAGTAAAAGAGATGTCAGATCTTGTCATCGTTACAGAACAGGATAGTAGCATAAGAATCTTAACCTTTTTTTTTTAAATAGAACCCCAAGGTTTAAAAAATAGAAACCCGAAGGTTAGAATGGAACCCGAAGGTTTAAAAAAGGGAACCCGAATGTTAAGAGCAGCGGCTAAGGGCTGCGGTGGTAGTGAGCAAAGAGAGCGGAGTTCATCGACCTTGTTATAGTGGTGTCGCAATTCCTTCAGAGAGCCAAGTCCACCCCCCAGGCTTTGAAGAGAGCTTGGAGATGAGCAATGCTGAAGCAGTCACACTATGCAAAGACATCAAAGATTAAACACATCCCAACTCCACAAGAATCCTTGAGAAGCCCAATGGGAGCTTGTGAGGGGAGAGGCGAGCAGGGGTCAGAGATGGAGAGGAGAGAGGAGTGGGTCCCACGAGGGTGGGTTTTGGAGAAGCTACAGAGGAGCAAAGTACAATCCTCTTCAAACCCCCAGCGACGACCGCTGGCAGAGAGAGCGACGAGGAAGAAGATGGTGGGTGGTGGTGGTGAGCAGAGAAGCTTCGAGGATGAGGAGAGAGTGGCAGTGGCGAGATTTGAGGCAATGACGACGACGGTGAGCACAAATGGCAATAAGGGCGGCAGTGACAAGCGAGATTTGAGGCGGCAAAGAGGAAGAAGATGGTGGGTGATGGCGGCGCATAGAGAAGCTTCGAGTAGTAGCGACGGCTAGGGTTCGGGACTACAGTGTGATTTTTTTAACTAGGGTTAGGGTTTGGAGGGTTTGCTCTGATACCATGTTAGAAAAGATAAATCAGAAGTGCTCAATTTTATTTATCTACATAGGGCTATATATATAGGAGTACATAACTCATACGGGTAATAGGTTAATGGACCTAAACCTAATAACCCAATACTAATACCAACAAATACAAATTCAGAATCATCTTTTATGACCTACAGAAGATGGCGATCACAGTAGGAGAAACAATTCCGTCAGATGAACTGGTGATGACGCAGTTCAACGAGGTTGCTGCAGGGACTACCGTTGAGTCCCTCATCATTGAGTTCGATCAAGCCAAGTATGAAGAATACTTATCTTCTACTTCTCTTGGTGGCAAAACATCACGTAAGTGTCGTAAAATCTTGCGTGTGAGTCGGTCCCAGCGAACTAAGGCTGTAGTGCCTGAGAGTTCTATCCGAACAATTTCTAGGGGTTCCATCCCTCTCAAGACTATCGATGCAAGCCATAAAGCAAAAGGGACGAGCCGAAGAGTCACTCGCTGGATTGTTAAGCAATCCACGCAAAATCCTGTCTCCGAGGATACCAAAGTTCTTGTTGGCGCAGATTATGCCTTCACTGTCGGTAGGAACGCTCCTCTCTCAAAGAGGACCAAACAGAGGCGACGACAAGACCGTGCTCATCGTATAGCACATGCTCTAATCTCCTTGGATGATTTGAATTATTATTCAGGCTTGATGAACAATGCTAGTGCCGAGAAAAACGCCCTAGTTCTGGCGAAACTCATCGTTCAGGCGGACCTCACATTGTCGGCGAACTCTGGCATATTGTTTGTAGAACTTTTGAGGAAGCTTGCAGATTTTTGGTTTGAGCCTAAACTCTCTTTTGCTCGATCAATCTAGAACTAGCAAGATACCCGTAGCTAGGATGATTGACACCGACCAATAACCTACATAATGCCCTCTTCCTCTGAGCTGACTATGACAACAAAGGGAGTCCCACCTGAAGTCGTGATCAGAAAGATACAGACTTATATGAGGGGGCCTCAAAATGAAGCTGGGTTAGCAAAATGATGTGAAGGAGATGACCTAATATCCCATAAAATGTCCCTAGTATGGCCACTGTCATACCATAAAAATATTTTATATACCACATCAATATTAATACCCCTTCAGGTTGCCAACACGTGAGAGGCGATAACAAGTCATCAATACTCATCTCTCGTAAAGAGATCTTGGGAATGTGACCCCAAATAGAGTGCTCGGAAGACCCTAACCGTGAAGATTGAGTTCTATTCACCATGAATAGGGTTCACTTTATCTTTATCATTAGCCGGATGGGAGAATATCCATCTGAACGCGTGTCTAAAATCTGTGTCCCATCCCCTCTAAGAAATAAAGGATTAGTCTATGTACAAGCCGCCTTACTCCAGCCATTCCAATGAGGAAACCTGTTAGCTTTTACTACTTTTATCACAACCGCATAACATTCTATATAAGGTAATGAAGAGTGGTAACTTTCCTAACCTAACTTTTGCTAGGGTTTTTACCGCGTTTTACTATATTCTTTACCAATTTGGAGAGAAGCTTAGACGTTGGAGGGCATACCAGAACCCTAAACCCTAGAAAAACTTTCCCTAGAGGGTTTTTGGGAGCTGTTTCAGTGTGCATGCTAGAGTGAAGGAGGATTTCGACAATTAGCGGATTAAGAGGCCCAAGTTTTCCTTGTTCACCCCCCTTTATTGGAGGGATAATATGAGAAATTTATTGTGTTACAACATTTTGAATATAGTTAGATACTTAATTGAACGAGTTCTTGCTGACTAATAGATCCTTGACCGGCATTCCATCTCCAATCAATTTTTGCGGTGCCATACAAATGAGTCCATTTGAAATCCAAAAGCCAGAAGTTGTGTTCTTTGATGGTTTCTTGCTAAGCTCAATTATAGAAACTTTTTTAGGTGTTTAGAATGAAAAACCAAGCTACAGATTCCCTAGCATCTCATAGTACTATTCTTTTATGTGAATGGAAAATGTTTGTGACATTATGTTATCTAAAAATAAAAATTCTACCAGGAATGGAAATGACAATCTAGGTAGATTTCAGTTTGAGTGTGCCATATACACGCATCTACTGTGCATGCACACGCATCTACCTGTGAAAAACTATTCTCCTCACTACTGACAACTAAAAGTATTCTACTGTTTTCAGCCTGGTCTAACAGGAGGAAGTGATGACACATATGTGAGACATATGCTTATGCGAGCACGAAATAAAGGCTGGCGGGTTGTTGTATTTAATAGCCGTGGCTGTGCAAATAGTCCAGTTACAACTCCTCAGGTATTACATTAGAGCCTCTTTCTAGTGCTTGATTACTTAAACCCTTGTGCTAATTTACATTATGCTTAATTTGATTTATTTATATCCTTTTCCCCTTTTGGCAACAGTTTCGGTTATTTCATTAAGTCAGCTAGCAATCATTAGGTCCTTACCTAGATTTACATTTTTTTTTTCAAGAATATTCTTGGTGTGCGCTATTAATGTATTTCTGGAAAGTAGCACGTTGTAATGCATCACCCTCTAAATTTTACATTTTTTCCCCATGTTTTTGAAGTTTGTTTGTCGTGTTGGTTTCTCTCCTCCATTAATATCTACAAATTACAATCAAATTGACAAACATTTAATTGCAGATTTGTTTAACAAAAATCTTGTAATTAACGTGAATAGGGAATCATTAAAATTCTTGCAGCTATAGTTTTCCAAATTATGTATTGCAACGTCTAATCATTGGCCTCACAAGCATCCTGTCTTCTCATTGTTAGCATAATTAAACATGTTCGATTCAATATCTAAGATGATGCCAACGTGGAAACTTTAAATCTTTGAGTCATTTCTTCTTCCTAACGGGCATGTAAATTGTTATGCTGAGTACGATTTAATACTATATTTGGAAGCTTTGCAGGCAAACTAACCTAAATCTTATGACTATCAATTTTTGTATACCTCTACCCTAATATTCTTCTAAACACATTTCATTCCACCTTCGAGCTTTTAAATTCAACTATATATCATATTATTTGATATGAACACATATCCTCCATTTTCAATTGAGAAATAGTTTTGTAGCCCTTAAGAACCAAAGATTCTTACACTGCCAGAAGGAACTCATCTGTCCTTGACATAACCTACAGTGTAGTAATTTCATGCGCAACAAGAATAGACATCAAGATTGAATCTAAAAGCCATTTTTATTTGCCCTCAAAAGCTTCCTTGTCCAGGATTAGGGTGGTGGAAAGAACCTTGATATTTTCCAAAGGTAAATTCCCTATAAATTACTTAGGGTTCCTATTGGCCCAGTACATAGAAAAATTATTTTCTATCAACCACTCATTGACAGAACCAAAGATAGGCTGCAAGGGTGGCATTGCAAATTGCTAAGTGTTGCGGGAATGCTAATTCTTGTTAGGCATGTTTTGAGCAGCATGCCTATACACTTACTTTCTGCTATATCCATCCCTAAGGTAGTTTTTGTCTTGATTCAAGCATTATTTGCAAACTTCCTTTGGGGTTCTCTGATTTTGGCAAGAAAAGGCACTGTGTCACGCCCCGAAACTGCAGCGAAAATTCATAAATACGGGGTATGCGACAGCAGCGACCCGTGCACGAGACAAGTCTTATGCACTGGTCAAGCCTGACACTTCCTATCACATAGTTTATCTCATGATGTTCATAAATCTGCTAATGATAGAAGTTCAGAGAAACTATATATATGTATATAATCGGTACTTACAACTCACAGGCTCATCGTCATAAGCATTTCACAAAATAAAGCATAGTCTTCATTATATGTAACATTCAAAAAAGGGGCTTTTCCTATAACGCCTCTCAGCTAAACGCCACAACCAAAAGCTTGGATAGTATGAAGCTACACTGGATCTGAAAAAAATTAAAAAATGACGGGGTGAGCTAGAGCTCAGTGAGAACATTTCCCACTAGAGTTCCTAGATAACTAACAAAATAATAATAAGAATAATTTCCAGAATAACGAATTATAAGTTTTGCACCAGAAATTCAAAAATAGCAAAATACGATCCAAATATCATAATATTATCATCTACAAGAAAGAATACAACAGTTATATTTTCTTTCTTATGTGTAACTGAATATACTATAATATTTATTAAAATCAAACCCTTTCGAATCAAGGTAAACATTAACAAGAAAAGAAATTACTAAATTGGGTACAAAACCATAGGACTATTATTTTCTCAATTTCACAGTCAATTGTCAGAATCTTAAATCTCGATGAATTGTTCTTCGAATTCACTCTCAAATCTTAAAATCACAAATCTATTACTGTCAGGCGATGTGGACTCTAGAGGTGGCTCCCACCACGTCCACACGGTGTAGTACTTAGCCCCGTATAGCACTTAGCTCCACATTTTCGGCTAGTAATTCATGAAACACAATAGTCACCTCATATATCACACTAAGGCTACGAATTATAGCCCAGTAGCATGGGAATACGTAAAACACATTAGATAACAGATAATTCTTGGGAATCGAATGCACCTAACACTGTCATAGGTTACTGACCAAAACAAATAAAGGTGCATTCACCATATGGCAGGCAAAATCATTTCATAATTGACTTTTGAGGGTTTGAAAACATCGAGAATCACTAGTCAAATCAGAAATACCGTGCTTATCAGAATTTACAAATATTTTTAAATGAAGTGTACGAGGGTGAACTCTCCATCCCAGTTAAAACAGTTTACGGATTTTACTTTTCTTTATTTTTATCAGATACTAAGTCACAGAAATTCTTTGAATCCCTTAAACTGTCAAAGCACATTCAAAATATTTCTTTTCTTCAAAAGCTTTCAAATAAAGCAATTCCCACAATTATTTGAAATCGCATGAGAACCAAAATTCACTTTTCATAATTCATATAAAATCAAATTAATTTTTTTCATATTTTATACGAAATCAACATCGTATTACGGCTTAGGCCACAACAAAAGTAAATCAAATCACCTTTAAGTTTATATACATGAAAATGATATATTATTTATTTTTCGATCACAAGATAAATCAATTACAATACTCATGCAATTTTATATTATAAAATACTAGTGAAAAATGAACTCACCTCTTGTGGACACGACTTCCCCAAAATATTAGTTCCCTGGATATCAACCAGAGCCTATAATATAAGATATAAGACTAATTATTAATTTAGGACAAACATATTACAGGTTCATCAATTCATAATCTAGAGTTGATAAATTCAAATATAATCAATAAAAATTTAAAATAGGGTATATGTGAACTTATTGCCAACCTTAGCAATTTACCCAGCTTAATTCCTAACTAAGTCTAAATTTTCTGGGTCTGGTTGCAATTTATTGAACAACAGGACCCTTATGAATATTTCTATTCCTTTTTATCTTTGGACCTATATACAAACTAATAATCTTTTTGGGGTCCCAAAGAAAATTTATTATTTTAACTTCTTATTCGCTCTCCTCTATCTCTTCTTCCCCATTCCTCCTTTTCTCATTTCATTCTTTTTTAGGAAAAATGTGTCCAGGCCCCAAAATGAGAAAGTTCATGTGGCCCGCCCCTTGTATTTTGGCCCATATGATTCAGCCCCAAAAAGTACAATTTAATATTTCAAGGCCCTCCACGTTAGCAGTATAAAAAAAGAGATTGTATTTTAAAAAAAATCCGAAATTACCCCTCTACTTATCTTCCCCAGACGTCTGGTCCACAAAATACATGGAAAGTCACGCCCATTAATGCGATCTGATGGAAAAAAGGGGGAAATTTTTCGTCCTTTTTTGAACTCTATCATGAGCAATAACTCATGTTAGTTCTAAGTTATTTAATGTTAGTTCTAAGTTATTTAATGTTAGTTCTAACTTATTTTATGTTAGTTCTAACTTAGTTCTATTTCATGTTAGAGCTAATGTTAAGTAGAACTAATCTAACTTAGTTCTATTTCATGTTAGAGCTAATGTTAAGTAGAACTAATATAAATACTTTAGGCTATTTAGTCTAGTGGTAAACCTTATTTTATATTAGTTTTAACTTATTTTATGTTAGTTCTAACTTAGTTCTAATTCATGTTAGAGCTAACTTTAAGTAGAACTAATCTGTTTATACCATGTTTAGTGGCTATGTTAGTTCTAGTTGAGCTCATGTTAGTTCTGGTGGTTCTCGTGTTAGTTCTAGCTGATTTCATGTTAGTTCTATTTTCAGCTAGTGTTGGTTCTAATATAAGCGTTAATTCTAGTGGCTATATTAGTTCTAGTTGAGCTTCTGTTAGAACTGACACGATACCTGTGAGAATTGATACTAGAGAAGCTAGAACTAACACATCATCAAGTAGAACTAACATGACGTTTAGACCTAACAATTACGCTAGAACTAATGACTTAAATAAATTAGAACTAACACGATACCAGTTAGAACTAACACTGGAGAAGCTAGAACTAACACATCATTAAGTAGAACTAAAATGACGTTTAAACCCAACAATTATGTAGAACTAACGACTTAAATAAATTACAACTAACACGATATCTGTTAGAACTAACACTAGAGAAGGTAGAACTAACACGACATAAATTAAAACTAACATCGCGTTTAGACCCAACACTTACGTTAGAACTAATGCATTTAATAAATTAGAACTAACACGATACCAAATAGAACTAACACTAGAGAAGCTAGAACTAACACATCATCAAGTAGAACTAACATGGTGTTTAGACCAACAAGTACGCTAGAAATAACGCATTACATAAATTAGAGCTAACACGATACCAGTTAGAACTAACACTGGAGAAGGTAGAACTAATATAGCATAAATTAGAACTAACATGACGTTTAGACCCAACACTTACGCTAGGAATATCACATTAAATAAATTAGAACTAACATGATACCTGTTAGAACTGACACTGGAGAAGCTAGAACTAACACATCATCAAGTAGAACTAACATGGCGTTTAGAACCAACAATTACGCTAGAACTAACGAGTTAAATAAATTAGAACTAACACGATATCTGTTAGAACGAACACTGGAGAAGCTAGAACTAACATGACATAAATTGGAACTAACATGACGTTTAGACCCAACATTTACGCTAGAACTAACGCATTAAATAAATTAGAACTAACACGAGCTTGTAAAAATTAGAACTAACATGAGCTGGTAAAAATTAGAACTAACATGAGTTGCGATAGAACAAACATGAGCTAATTCTAGTTATTTATGTTATTTTTTAAATTCTATCATGAGCTAACTCATGTTAGTTCTAACTTATTTCAAGTTAGTTCTACCTTATTTTATGTTAGTTCTAATGGCAAGTAAGAGCTAACTTTAAGTGGAACTAACATTAATATTTTGGCTACTTGGTCTAGTGGTAAAGCTTGGTAATTTGGAGAGGAGGTCAAGAGTTCAAACCCCTACACCTACAATATATATTTAAAAGTCTTTGATTGGGCCTTGGGGCTCTTAGGCTCTTTGTTAGTCCTAACTAATTTTATGTTGGTTCTAACTTGCTCTTTATTAGTTCTAACTCACTTCATATTAGTTCTAGTTCTAATTCATGTTAGTTCTAACTTGTTCTTTGTTAGTTCTAACTCACTTTATGTTAGTTCTAACCCACTGCATGTTAGTTCTAGTTCTAATTCATGTTAGTTTTAGGTTCTTGGGCTCTTTGTTAGTTCTAACTCATATTTATGTTGATTGTAACTCACTTCATGTTAGTTCTAATTCTAATTCATGTTAGTTCTAACTTAACTCACTAGAACTAACGCTTATATTAGAAATAACACTATCTGAAAGTTAGAACTAACATGACAATAACTAGAACTAACACAAGAACCACTAGAACTAACAGGGGCTCAACTAGAACTAACATACCACAAGAACTTACGCTTATATTAGAAATAACAATAGCTGAAAATTAGAACTAACACGCTGCGATTGGCCCTCAACTTTTCTCTTTCCATTGAAACTAGAGAGCTCAATTTTTTAAAGTAGAGGTCTCACTTCTTAATCAAATAAGGGCAGATAATTCTGTGTCTAGATATGTAATTTGATTTTATTTCATTATGGACATACCAACCTTAGGAGGAAGAGGGAGGGAGGCTCTGATAAATTTTGTTCAAGACTGTTGAGATGTGGTTGTAGGAAAATGCAAAGTCAGAGGTTATATTTTCCTAATATTTGCAGACAAGATTTCATTCATTTACCAAATTTGTAAGAATGTCCTCTCTAATAGATGAAGCATCTCAATAGACTGGTCATCAATGAGGATGCATGGGATGCTTGCCGGTGAGTTCCAGTTCAAACAACTTGCTTAATGAACACGCTCCGGACTAATATCCAACATAAACATACATAGATGCATAAGTTTGCATATCAGTCCAGTTCTTCAAAGCTTCCTTTCGTCAAACTTGTTTCCAGTCTCCCAGCTTACACACAGTTTCAGCAAATGACAGCGGACAGAACTAACATGTCAGCGAACAGAACTAACGTAGGAGATAACAGAACTAACATGAAAGCGGGTAGAACTAACGTAAGAGATGATAGAACTAACATGAAAGCTGATAGAACTAACAGTCCAGTCCTCAAAACTAACAGTCCAGCCTTTAGAACTAACTGTCCAGCCCTTAGAACTAACATTCCATTCCTTAGAACTAACAATCCAGACTACTCAGCTCACAACCAGTTTTCAACAGCTTTCCGATGTTTTTGCCGAAGGCGAACCTGTTGTGGTTTATGAAGATGGCGTCGAGGTCCTTGTCGAAGATGGCTCGGAGGGCACCTTGCGCTCGAACTCGTTGTACTTGATGTCGAGAAATTTCAGGGAGGGGAGCTAGAGGACGACCCTAGGAAACTTGCCGGCGAACCGATTGTTGCTCAGGTCGAGCTCGAAGAGGAACCTCATCCTCTCGAAGGTCTGAGGCATCGTGCCGCAGAACCTGTTGGAGTTTATGACAGGTCCCTCAGGAGGCCGAGCTCCTCGGGGAGGTACCCGGCGATGTCGCCAGCGTCGCTGACCTCGATGGAGCGGTTCGATTGTAGGGTGGGGCCGTGGTGGGTGCATGGTTCATAGTTCTAATTTTCCTTGTCCCCTCTTTCAAATTCACAGCTTCTTAGATTCTTTTGTCAACTTTTAATCACATTGTCTTCAATTTTTAGCTAAATATCGATATGCCTGAAGATTCAATGTGAGCTTCTGAAAATTTCTGTTAATTTCTTATACAGAACTCTGTCAATCACCAAATCGCACAAGAAAAAGGCATTAAAGGAGAACCCAAACTGCTGTTCAAGAATCCAAGGAGATCCTATTTCAATTAAATGAAAAAGAAAAACTACAAAAACCCAATATCGATTCCCTTCATAAATTACAAAAAAATAGAGCACTATCTTGATTAAGACATTGATTTGGGTAAAGAGATTCCGTAACTCAGAAAGGGGAGAACGACGATATGCCTTGGACCAAAGCTCTGGGCCCGTCAGCTCGCGGGTCCCACCGGACCATGTTTCGTGCTTGTCGTTGAACCCGCGTTCACGAGCTGTTTCCAAGATGACTGATGCGGCATAAACATGTACCAAAAAGTTGCAAGTGCACAACCGTGTCAAGTTATAGTATAAAGATATCGATCCCACGAGAAAGGTGTTTTGTAGGAGAAAATATAAAATCGATTCTTATGTTGTGTGCGTGACAAATAGGAGTGATGAGTGAATGTGATTGTGAAAAGATTGAGAGAGTGAAAATGGTGTGTAAATAGGCGCAAAATATAAGTGAGAGTGGATGTAACAAAGAATGAATGTGATCAATAAGGCAAGAATGAATAAAATCGAGAAACAAATGAAAATCAAGAATGAAAAATAAAATTCAAGAATAAAAGAAAATACAAGAAATTAAAGATGATGGATTCAATTATAGATATGTTTAATCTAAAATTAAACCCACTTCTTTAGAAAAGGGTGATTCCCTAGAGGGTTCTAGCCTAAAGGCGAATCAAACAAAATAAAAATAAACAAAAAGAAAAACTAAACCCAAGAGGGTTCTAGCCTCAAGGTGAATAGTACAAGAAATTAAAATCTAACTACAAAATTGCAAAATCTAAACTACAAAATAAATTACAAGAATTAAATACAAGAAAATAAATCTACTCTATAAACATGAAATAAATCTAAGGCAAGAGGGTTCTAGCCTCTTGGCTATTTAACAAGAAAATAAAATCTAAACTACAAGCATAGGCTCCCTTCATTACTGTGCTGCTTCATCAGACGGTACTATAAATCGGTTAGTTCTAGCTCTCACTCTCTCATTAATGAAATTAGGGTATGTTATTCAACTGTCAACCACGCCTATGCGGTTGAAATCACCTTAATTACTCCTCACCTCCTCATAACTGTCCTCATAACTCTCAACCACCCAATGGCCGCCGATGACTTGATTTGCATGGTGTCTTTAGGCGAGAATGCCATATTTATGAAGCTAATGTCGACAACAAGCTTTTATGAACTGAAATATGGTGTGGCTGAAAGATTGAAAGTACCTGAAGAATCTTTTTCCTTGATATATAAATCTGAGAGGCACCCCAACCTGAGTTTTTCGGTTGAGAACGAAGATGACCTGAAGTGCATGTTGGAGCACAATCGAAATATTGGTTGTACGGAGATTCATATGCAGGCTGCTGTTAATGTAGAGTGTTCCACGTCAGGGAAGAATCAGAAAGATATTAGGGAAATGTAAGTAATTAGTAAACTCTTTATAACATTGTGCTTAGTGTGATGTAAACACCGTTATCTTTTGGTCAACTTTCAATGACCCCTCTGGGCTTTAAATCCCCTGAATGTAACCGTATAACTGTCGTCATAAATTTGAACAACCCCCAACGGGTTCCAAAGAGTTGATGAGCATGGTGCCGTCAGGCGATAATGCTATATTCTGCATGATTTTAAGTGCACGTTGGAACGCAAGTAAATAACTAGAATTGTTCTGATTAAAATGCAAGATGTTGATGCCAAGTAGTGTCCTACTGAGGAAAAAACAGAAAGTTATTACTGATTTGTAAGTAATAGAATGAACTCTGCTTGAAACTGGTATATGTGGGATGTTGAAATTGTGATTTCAGGTTTCGATGCTACTTTGGGGAAAAATAATTGTCAACGCTGATGGGTACATTTTAACCCTTCAGCTTACAGGTTAATTATCTAAGATATATGTTAACTATTATATGAACATGTTAACTCTCATTGGAACATGTTATACTTTTCTTGAACATGTTAACTTTCGTCTTTCTGTGTTAACCATGTCCATTGTTGTTAAATTCCACTGCTCTATGTTAAGTTTTAATCAAAATGGTTAAATTTACACCCAGTTAGTTAACTTTTGGTGTGCTGTGTTAACCATGCATATTGTTAACTTTCATCATAGTGCTGGTAACTTAAGTTATAAGAAGATTATTTGACATAGTGTGCAGGATATCTCACTGTTTGATTAAATTGTGCAACAGGGATGCCTATTTGAATTCAGATTATAGTTGTCCTACTCGACATAATGCATCCAATTCAGAGAGAATCCAAACTGATTTTCCATCTGGTAAGATTGTAATGAGGGCTGATGATATTCTCAATAACACTTCGAGCATTCCTCAATGGTGGCACACAGCATTAACTGAAAAGGGGCAACAATTTGAAACCGTAACTGAATTGAGACTGAATTGAGACTAGCTTTGCAATACTATTCCATCGCCAAAAAATTTGAATATGAATTTGTAAAGAATGAACCCAAACGTATCCGCGTTTGTTGTCGATATAAGGAGACGTATGGATGCCCTTGGATGCTCTATGCAGCTCCTGTTAAAAATGATAAAAGAATGGAAATCAAAAGGTTTGTGAATGAACACAGTTGCGGACAACATTCTAGCTTGTCAGGGCAATCACGGGCATCTCGCAAGTTCATAGCAGCCCAATTGCGACCGGTATTAAAGGCACGACCTGAAATCCGCCCAATTGATGTGCAAAAGGACTTCCTCACTCGTTTTGGATTGAGACTTGAATACAGTAAGATATGGTGGGCCAAAGAAAGAGCGCAGCAAGATATGTATGGTGATAGCTATGAGGCTTATGATCAATTAAGATGGTAAATATTACAGTTAATTTATAACTTGTGTGCAAATGTTTATCGTAGCCGCTTTAATGTTAATATGTTACCCTTATGTTCCAATGTATTATATTTATTTACATGTCCAGAAGCGGCATTGTTGTACAGGTATGAGCAAATGTTGAAGCAAACGAATCCAGGAAGCTACATTTGCATTGACCAGAATGAAGGAAGGTTCAGAAGACTGTTTATATGTTATGCTGCTTGCATCCAGGGTTTCTTAAATGGCTGTAGACCCCTTTTATTTTTGGATGGGACCTTTTTGAAAGACAGATATAAAGGCATGCTTCTAAGCACCATAGCCTATGACGGAGACCGAGGGATATTTCCACTTGCGTATTGTATATGTGATCAAGAAAATATTGATAATTGGAGATGGTTCCTACAAGGCCTGTGGTCCATACTGTATGAAAGGTTGGACCCGTACAATCCCCCCACCAATTGGTAATTATTTCTGATGTAACTGAAAAGGGGCAACAATTTGAAACCGTAACTGAATTGAGACTAGCTTTGCAATACTATTCCATCGCCAAAAAATTTGAATATGAATTTGTAAAGAATGAACCCAAACGTATCCGCGTTTGTTGTCGATATAAGGAGACGTATGGATGCCCTTGGATGCTCTATGCAGCTCCTGTTAAAAATGATAAAAGAATGGAAATCAAAAGGTTTGTGAATGAACACAGTTGCGGACAACATTCTAGCTTGTCAGGGCAATCACGGGCATCTCGCAAGTTCATAGCAGCCCAATTGCGACCGGTATTAAAGGCACGACTGAAATCCGCCCAATTTGATGTGCAAAAGGACTTCCTCACTCGTTTTGGATTGAGACTTGAATACAGTAAGATATGGTGGGCCAAAGAAAGAGCGCAGCAAGATATGTATGGTGATAGCTATGAGGCTTATGATCAATTAAGATGGTAAATATTACAGTTAATTTATAACTTGTGTGCAAATGTTTATCGTAGCCGCTTTAATGTTAATATGTTACCCTTATGTTCCAATGTATTATATTTATTTACATGTCCAGAAGCGGCATTGTTGTACAGGTATGAGCAAATGTTGAAGCAAACGAATCCAGGAAGCTACATTTGCATTGACCAGAATGAAGGAAGGTTCAGAAGACTGTTTATATGTTATGCTGCTTGCATCCAGGGTTTCTTAAATGGCTGTAGACCCCTTTTATTTTTGGATGAGACCTTTTTGAAAGACAAATATAAAGGCATGCTTCTGAGCGCCATAGCCTATGACGGAGACCAAGGGATATTTCCACTTGCGTATTGTATATGTGATCAAGAAAATGTTGATAATTGGAGATGGTTCCTACAAGGCCTGTGGTCCATACTGTATGAAAGGTTGGACCCGTACAATCCCCCCACCAATTGGTAATTATTTCTGATGCTGACAAGGGGATTCGAGAAGCCGTGAGAGAATATTTCCCCGAAGCAATTCACTCACGCTGCGTTCTGCATCTAGTTGAAAATTTTAGATCAAAGCTCAAGGATTTGGGAATGAAGGCAAAGGACACACAGGTTTTGGGGAATTTGCTCCAAACTGCTTGCTATAAATACACTATAGCGGAATGGAACGACTACATGAAGAAAATTTATGAGATGGCTCCAGCCGCATATGAGATTGCAATTAATTACTCGTCAGAGCATTGGGCAAATGCCTTCTTCCCTGGCATTAGGTATGCATTCAATCATTATGACGTTTTGCGGTTGATGTTAACTGTTATGCATATATGTGAAGTATCCTTTTTATAGGTTAACCTTCGCTGATATATGTTAACTTTAACCAATATATGTTAACTATGATGTTTTTATGTTAGCCTTTAGTAGTATAAGTTAAGTTTTATGGTCACTTGTTAAGAAGATAACATATTATATGCCCATCATGCTTTCTAAATGTTGACATTTGCAGATATGGCCATGTAACCTCTAATGTCGCAGAATCCTTTAACAGCTGGATACGTGAAGCCCGTTTGTTACGTATCTTGCAAATGGTGGAGCATATCCGAAAACAACTTATGACTCGCATGAACAACAGACGGATAATGACGTGTAAGTGGACAAGCTATCTTTGTCCTAAAGCTGAGAAGATTGTTAGGGAAAATATGGAAAAAGGGCACACTTTAGAGATTAGGCAATCTAGAGATGATATTTTCGAAGTGCAATCACATAGAACCACTCGCGTTGATTTGGAGAATAGAATATGCACTTGCCGAGATTGGGACGTAACCCGTATTCCTTGTGTCCATGCTTGTGCAGCTATTATTTATATGAAAAGAGATGTATATTAATATTGTGATTGGTTCATGTCCGTAGAAGCGTTTAAGAAGAGCTACGACGAAATATTATATCCCATACCAGACTATGAGAAGCGGAGTGTGCCCACAGATGAGATCCAGATTTTGCCACCAATTACCACTAAGAGGAGGGGAAGAAATAGAACAAGACGCGTAAACAACAGAACCATATACAAACGGCCCGTCAAATGTTCTCGGTGCAAAGTTGAAGGTCACAATAGAGCAACCTGCAATGAGCCCATCCGTGACTAGTGTGTTTCAGCTTCTAACAACAATACTTTTGTATGAGACATATAGATGGTTTTAAAGTTGTTAAGTACAACTTTAAAACCATCTATATGTCTCATACAAAAGTATTGTTGTTAGAAGCTGAAACAAGACGCATACGGATGGGCTCATTGCAGGTTGCTCTATTGTGACCTTCAACTTTGCACCGAGAACATTTGACGGGCCGTTTGTATATGGTTCTGTTGTTCCAGATTGCCCAGAAGTCCCCGTTGAAGATGATATGGCAGTCAAGGCAAAGCAGTTGAAGAAAGCACTGAAGCAAGCAAACCGCGAAGTTGAAAAATGGAAACTTTGTTCTTTCTTCATGTGTTGTTTTTGTATGGTTCTAATATCCATCATCTTTGTCATCTTTAACTGAATTTGGTTAAGTATCACGTGTATATGTTAATGTTTACTATAAATGGTTAAGTTTCAGAGATATATGTTAACTCTAACTGATATATGTCAAGTTTTAGAGCTACATGTTAACTATTTCTGATAGTGGTTAAGTTTCAGAGCTACAGGTTAACTTTTATTGGAAGTAGTTAACTTTCAGCGCTATATGTTATCTTTCATACTTATATGGCAGCCAATGCAAGTTTTGTGTCGGAACATCAGTGACATATACTATCATCCCTTATCATCCCTGTTATTTATTGCATTCCAAACATTTTAGCAACAAAGATTCCGCTGTCTACCAGTTAAACAACCAGTTTCTTACATCTCCTCGTCCAACCTACCCACCAGTTAAATAAAAAGTTTTGATACCACATAACATCTCTAACTAGCAACCAGTTTCTGGACCTTTCCCTAGTTATACATCTGTTCTAATATGCCTGTTAGTTTTGCCCCCACAACAATATGCACAATACATAACTGTTTCTGACATCATTCACCCATCCTTTTGTAGCCCATCCACGTAATTTTTCTGTTCCCATCCTTCAATTAGGAGTTCAGCTACAAGCTTGGCACGGATGACGTCGGCCTCGTCAGCGGGATTAGTTACCTGACTGGTATCAGTCCCTTGTATTATAGCCGTTATATATAAAGGAACGAAAAGCCCACAATCAAACCTACATCATATACATTGGAAAGATAGTTAGATATTTGATGCTGAATAAAATGAAAATGTTTAAGTGTGTGAAACACTAACATTCCTCGCTGTTGCTCGCAAGGGACGGCTTCATATCGGTACTTCTTCCAAACATTATTGGGATCAAAACCAGCCTTCATGTGATCCATGAAATCAATTACTTTATTTACTGGCTCCAAGTATGCACTGTGGCCTGCAGAGCTGTAATGCCTGATAACATCCTCGTCCAACCTTACTTCAACAACATGCCAGTGGTCATGCCGCACGAGCGGGATAAGGAGTACTGATTTATTTGCGGCGACATGCTTTTGTATGAACGAGGTGTATAAATGTGCGTAGTCTGGGTTCACTGCATAAATGCTATGCTGTATTGCCAAGCAAATAATGATAAGCCATTTGTAAACAGGAGTTAAAAAACATTGGGAGTTTGAAGCTAATGCTTACGCAGAAAAATGCTGACACGACCCCATATTTCATGCCAACAGAAGCAATTTCTGGCCTCTCTAGCCATGAGCTGAGCCTATCCACAAGAGCTTCCATGACCTGTTAACAGAAGATGCAAATAAGATTGCATAACATCTCAACACGCAGTAAATCCAAGTATTGCGTAAAAGATTAACATATTGAGAGTAGCATATTGAACTTGCATGGTCATCGATACGCCCTCCACGTAGAAGATACAGAAGCTCCGTTGAATCAACGCTGCTGTTCAATGTCTTAACAATACTACGTGACCTGAAACATAACAATAAGATCCAAATTTTAACATAAACCAGGCTATATGTTAACTGGATTTGCAAATATAAACATGATTTGGCAAACGTTGGCACAAACAGGTATAAGTTAACATAAACCTATAATCATTAACATGTACCTATGAAAGTTAACATAAACCTATAATCATTAACATCTAACTATGAAAGTTAACATAAACCTATAATCATTAACATGTAACTATGAAAGTTAACATAAACCTATAATCATTAACATGTAACAATAAAAGTTAACATAATGTAGCCACGGTTAATCAGAATGTCTAAACTTACTGATGGGCTGTTTCATTGCAGAACTGAGAGAGCCATCTGTTCTCATCTGGTGTGAGCTTTGCTGCTATATGCTGAGGCACTCTATAGTTGTGAACGAAGGTTCCTTCACTATCAATCACACGTATGCTAAAATCATCAACGTTGGGAATACCCTCGTTTAGCAACTTCAATAGAGCCTCCTCCTTCTTCTTGATTTTCCTCTTCCCAAGAAAATCCCAAGTGCATTCCTCAGGCTTACAATAGAACCTGATTTTATCCCTCTCTTCCTCCTTGTGTGGTGATATGTTAAATGTTAATTATATCTGGACGACCGTCCTTCTTCTTTCCTTCAGTGAAAGGGGTTCGGACTAGATGTGAGCGAGTCCTCTTTCTGGTACTTGGTCCCCTAATACCCTTTGACACAAGTTTCTTCCCTCTCTTCCGCGCTCCAATTTATTGTTCAACCTATGTATCTCCTGGGAGCAAGCATCCCATTGAAGGCGCTTGCTACGCTTGACAGCGTGGAGCAATTTCCAATTTATATTGGCCGTATTCCTCCAAAAATGAATTTGCTCTACAGGCGTCAACTTATCTATTTCATCTTCTCTTGAAAAAGCATCAGCGATATGCTGGGACAAAATCTGTAAAGTACACCATATACCCTTTACCCTTGTAAATCCACAAGATTAAGCAGAATAGTTATGAAAACCCATAAAAGAAAGTTAACATGAAACAATGCAAATTGAAAATGAATTAATGATAACGATAAAATATTTAACTCAATGTAAATATGCTGTGATGTGTAAAGAGTCATTGCTGCTTACGTAACCCACAGATGAGCTCTTTGGTCTGCCCATCACCTTCTCTTGCTTCCCAGCCTTCTGCTTTTCTTCCTCGTTCATCTTTCTCGGCCTAGTTTGCTCTTTGGTCAGCCCATTACTCCTTTTCTTCTCTTGCTTCCCGGACGTTGGGCTTCTATTTTTCCCAAAGCGAGTGAATTCAATCTTCTTCCTGCTGGGCTCCCTTTGAGGGTATTTTTCACCCCATCCAATGCTGAGTGAAATTGGTTTCTCCTCAAGTTTTATGCTTGCTTTCTTGGCCTTAGAGACGATTGTCTCCATCCTCAGCGATCCAGCCGTCCCTCCGACCCTTACCCAGTTGGTCATCGGAGGCTTCCACCTCAAGTTTAGGGCTGGTTTTTTAATGCTAGTCATCTCAAAGTACCAAAGCTGTCAGAATCGAAGGATCAATTGTCAAAATAGTTAACTTGCATAACTCTTTCTTGAACTACAACATACTAAATAGCTAGCCTTCACTTCACTAACCCATGTTAACATTACTGGGTACATGTTACCTTTCACTTATTAATGTTAACTTTAATTTTTATATGTTAAAGTTTATGTTAACATGTTAACTTTCACCTATTAATGCTAACTTTTACTTTTATATGTCAAACTTCATGTTAACATGTTGATTTTAACATGTTAACCTATTAACGTCCAATGTTGTACATGTTTTCTAATGCCTGTTACCATGACTCCTATTAACTAGATCAAATGTAACATACAGGGATGAGCGGCATGCATCCAGGTACGTATGTAACCCCTGGCTTCCTCATCCCTTGAACAGCAATTTGAATGCCTCTCTTCGTCTCATCAAAAATAAATTTACCCCACGCAATGGTCTTCACTCTCTCGATACTATTTACATATTGAAACAATTGTCTTGGGATGCCTTGAGAGCTGTTGGGGCACCAAATCGTTGCACATTGGTACAATATCTGAAGCAACACAAAATCCTCAATGTCCTTATTATCAGAGGACTCAACAAGTGTTTCCAGCAACTCCTCGACATATCTCCTCATGCTACCAGCTTCTGGTGTAGCCTTGGCCTTTGCCTTTGCCTTTGGCTTGGCCTTTAGCATTTCTTTCTTATCTTCAAAGTATTGCCTCCAAAGTCGGTTGTGAGAGTCTCTATTCCCGTAGATCAGCTCCCCATCAATGGGAAAGCCTGTGTGAGTATGCACCCACTCTTCATCAAATTTCACTGAAAATATAGAACCGCTCTTGGGGTTGGGAAAAGAGAACTCATCAGTTTCGCCAGTATAATGGCTGAGCACATACTCTAGTGCCCGTCGATCGCGTGCTGGGGGACCAAAGAACACATAGTGCTCAAAGTTACAGCCCTTGTAGGCATCCCAATGCCACTTCTTCAGTTTTGGTTGCAGTTTTTGCATGAAGGAACAATATGTTCCAAGACAGGCACTGGGCCTAATATCACCTAAAGCAGCAACTATCCTGGATGAACAACAGTTTACTCTTAACAAGTGGTTCAACTTTAAATTACGTAACAATCAACAGTAAAGGCATTAACATAGTCAAAATCACGTTTTATTAACATGATTAGCTAAAAGTTGACTCTTAAGAGTAAACGTTAACAACAAACACAGATTATTGACATGCATTGCTACTAGCTATCAACAATTGAGAATTGTTTACATGCATTTCTTCCAACCCACAATTAAAATCAATTGATTGGGAACTTACTTCTTCTTTGAGATGGACACATCCTCCCGCGAGCGTCTCCTCTTGCGCTCTCGATTTTCCTGAGTTTTCATGCTCAATAGGGTTTCCATCGCCTCGTTACTCTCCTCATCATCAGAGGATGGCGGAACAGAATCGCTGGCGTGAGATATCAAGGCGGAGGTGGAGGGGGATAAGTTTCGTAGTTCCTCCTGCGCAAGTCGTGCCAACCGACGCCGGGGGTTATTAGCCATTTCTCTTATAATTTTCTTCGCCATTTTCCTTGTGGATTTCTTCGGCATTTTCTCTTATAATTCTCGTCTAGGGTTTTCAAATTGGGTTCGCAAGGTGAAGGAGGTTCGAGTTTTGGGGATATTTGTGGGTCTGCAGAGAAAAGAGCGAGAGCGAGAGAACGAGAGAAAGAGGGAGGGCGGATTTGGGGACGAACAGTTACAAGGGTAAATTCGTCTTTACAGAGGAACTATGCTCTCAAAGTTGTTTGGGAAATGACAAAGGGGCTGAAACTTTAATGAGTTGGGTATTTGGGGCTTGATCACACCAAAAAAAATACAGTGGGCTGGGCCACAACCGGTTCTTTTTTTGGGGGCCTTAAAACAATTTTCCCTTGATTTAAAGTATGTTAAAACGATGCAAAAGAGAATATGAAGTTTATTCCTAATCATTGATAGACTTCATAAAAAATATAAATTAAAGATTAATGCTAACTCTAGTATACTTTTATATGATAAAAACATCCACATAAGAATATAAAAGTACTGAAAAAATTCATGAAACTCCCTTCTAAAGATTCCTAATTTCACTCAAAATAATTAAACTATTCTATAAAATATTCATAAAATATTGTTTTTATTTCTTCTATTTTATTTTTTATTGAGTTAAGATCAATCCTTCTTCAGGTTTATCATTTATTATTTCTCAGACAATTCTAGAGTATTGTCTTCATCATCTACATTAATTGTGATATCAGGCTAATTTTGTATTTTTTATGCTATTATCTTTCCTAGGCTTGTTAATTTTTTATCATCTCATTTAACTTTACAAAGAAGTCAAATGTACTTATGATGTTCAACACAAACTGCTCAAAATATAGACTTTGATTTTTTTCTATTTAATGAGAATAAATATTAATTTCATATATATAAAATTCTTTGTGTTCCTAATTTATTACTTAAATAAATTAGAAGCTATCTCTTTATTTTCCTCTAAAATGAATTCTTCTGATGTGCATCCAATAATAATTTCTGTTATTTCAATAATATTACATTTGCTCTATCCCTATCATTTTTTATAAAGATCTAAACTAAATACCTGCATTATTCATTACTAATTTCTCTTAGATTATAATATTAATATTTAATTTGAAAAACACAGTATGGAATTTATGAATACTTACTAATTTTTCTTATGTCTTCCATGAAGATTTTTTCTTTGATTAGGATAAAGTTATTAAATTATTTTTTAATGTAACTCATTCAGTGCTTCATTAATAGATATGTCTTATGTTAATGCCAATTCAAGTGATTCATTGACGTTTTCTGAATTTTAGATTTATTTCCATCACTTTCCCATTTGCAATGGAAATAACTCAATTCTTTTAAAGTTATCTCTAAATATTCTAATAGTTTCTCCATATGTAATTCCTTGTATTTTTTTACCCTATAAATATTATTAACGTCGAAGATTAAAGTTTCTAAATTAAAATCAATTAATGCTAAGGTATAATATTATAGTGTTTTATCATTTCTAGCCCCCCCCCCCTTCTATGGCATTTTAACTATCTGATCATAGTTAATATTGACCGATGATCGTATTTTGGCATACGGCCCAACTTATACTAAAAATTATTATGAAAATTAACTTTAATTTATATAGTGCCCCGATAATTTTAATCTATAATATTTTAGAAAATTTATCATTAACCTATGCTTTTTAATCAAATTCTTATTGTTTTGGTTAACCTGTATCAAGCTTAGTAGACATATTCTTAGATGCTGAAAATGCATCAGTAAATTCCCTAATAGAATTTTAATATATTATATATATATATATATATATATATTATATATATATATAGTATATTATATATTATATATTATATAGTATATAGTATATATAGTATATATATATTATATATATATACTATATAGTATATATATATATGGGCAAAATACGCTGATCTAAAAACCGGCTGACCACCCCTAGGCTCCCACCTAAGGGACGCGGCCTAAAATCGCACATTCCATTCTCTAATTTTTTTACGATCCGCCTCCGGTTGAACTT